GTACGAGCAGGATGCCGTGATATGCGGTTGGGGGGGGGGGGGGGGAAGGGGGCTTTGGCCAGACAAAATGACATACATGACACGGGACAATGGGAGATGATGATACCTGGATGTGCTGGCCCACCTTGGCTTCTTTCATGTTTTGTCTGGATTGCGTTATGGGGGCCCTTTTTCACACCCTACACAGTATCTGTGCATGTTGGCTCTGTTTTTCCGCTCTTTGGCAATAGCTAGGCCACCCACGGCCACAGGTGGTTTACTTACCACTTCTAATCAAAATGTCACAAACTTGCCAAGCCCGCAGAGGAGCCACGGAGCCTCCCATGCCTCCCTGCGCTTCCTGCCTTCCTGCCACTTGCCTCTCCCCCCACAAGTGTCAGCTTTTGGCGTCCGCAGTTGCTAGTGGAGAGGAGCCCTACGACTATGAACTAACTCGTAATGGTGCCTGATTGGCGGCCTTTGCGGCCAAATGGTCGCTTCCTACTTCTACTCATCCTGCCCATCATCATCCTACAGACCCATCGGTGCCATCTCCGGAAGTCGTTGATCTACGGTACATGCTCGCGGGATGAGCTTGTCAGAACTTGAAGTCTCCTGTGCAAAAGTCCGCCTGGTGATTACAGATTGAGGATCAAGGCTGCCATACTTCCCTTCTGCCTTGCCTGGTGCCAATCGACCACCTCCGGACCTGCGTCCTTTGGCATGACCCTGTCTGGCGTTGGTTTTGTGCTGTATCAGATCTCCCCGGCGGACTTCAGTCCCCCAAACAGTGTCTGTCAAATGTGGGCCGTGACACATTGTCAACGGACTCTGATCTCCAACGCCTGCTCTGAGACCGCTCAAACACACAGTGCAAGATGATGCGTCTCCGACGCTACCGGTTATTTGTGCTAGTGGCTGTGGTTGCAATCGTGTCTGTCTACCAGCTGACTCGAGTCAGTGACTGGAAGAACCCTTCACTCGAGGCCCTGGTGGGCCTGAGGAACGATCATGCTACTAAACAAATCGGTTCCAGCACAGATTTCTCAGAGACGCTTTCTGACCCTGCTTCCGCGCCAGAACTGCTTGAGCAGCCTCAAGGACAACCGGCGCATCCTGCCCTACCACCGGTCGATTCACCAGGAACCACTCCTGCACCTCCACCTCTACAAGTGACCACTTCATCGCTCTCGAGTTCCTCGACCGCTGCACAGCCTACCGTGACGAAGGACGAGCTGCTTACCCAACAACCGCCTTTCGATGGTGAAGGTGATGAAGAAGCTGGTGACCGTGGACAAAGCAGGCATGGAGTCAAACCTCAGCCCGTGGAACAGGGGAGAGCATATTGGATACAACAAGAGGAGCATTTCCCAATACCCGCAGAGAGTCTGATTCCACTGCCGACCGACAGCGATTCCAAGGCGCTCCCCAAAGTCCAATATAGCTTTGGGAGAGAGAATCCTTCAATAAAGACAAATCGCCTTCAGAAGCAGGCCGTGATCCGGGAGGCGTTCGAGCATGCTTGGTTCGGCTATAAGAACTACTCTCTGCCTCACGATGAGCTAAAGCCTATATCGAAAGACGTGGGAGATCCGTTCAATGGGTGGGGTGCGACTCTAGTGGACTCGTTGGATGCTCTCTGGATCATGGGGTTGCGCGATGAATTCCACGATGCAGTTGCGGCAGTAGGCCAGATTGATTTCAAGACGTCGGCAAGAAAAGACATTCCTCTCTTTGAGACGACGATCCGCTATCTTGGAGGGCTGATTGCAGCTTACGATCTCAGCTCGGGGAAATATCCAGTCTTGCTTGACAAAGCGGTTGAACTCGCTGATATCCTGATGGGAGCCTTTGATACGCCCAATAGAATGCCTGCAGTTTTTTATCACTGGACGCCATCCTCAACGTCCCGACCACACAGGGGCAGTGAGCACACGGTGCTGGCAGAAATAGGCTCCCTCGCAGTCGAGTTCACGAGACTGGCTCAAATTACCCGGGAAACCAGGTATTACGATGCTATTGCACGCATCACCAATGCCCTGGAGGAGTGGCAGATGAAAACGACTTTCCCGGGTCTGTGGCCCTTGAAGCTGGACGCATCCGGCTGTAAAAAGCCCCAAGCCGTTTCCAAATCGGCAGCTGATGAGGATGAATGGTTGGAAGAAGACGCCTCTGTCGGCCTGAAAGATAGCCGCGCAGAGGTGTCTACGGAGGGACCAGGCACAGACAGCCCGCGCGAGCCCGATGATAATCCCTCGGTCATGTTGACTAAGCGACGACAGCCTTCATCGCCACTCTCGGCCAAAAAATCCGCGAAGAAGGATAGCAAGGTCAATGCGGCTGAACATAAGCCTTTGCCGCTAGTCGACGCCGACGCCGACGAAGACAATGATGACCACGAGCGTTGCGAAGCACAAGGTCTGAGCACTGAACCTGATTCGACCACCCACACTTACGGGATCGGTTCGATGGCGGATTCCACGTATGAATACTTTCCGAAGGAATATGCGCTGCTGGGCGGCATGAACGAGCAGTACAAACGTTTATACCTTGATGCCATGAAGATTGTTCGGGAAGAATTACTCTTTCGACCTATGACAAAGGAGAACCATGATATCCTCTTTCTGGCGAAGCAGAATATCTCCCCCAAGGCCAAGGATCCTGCCAAGAGGAAAGTAACAATCTATGAGGGAACGCACCTGGGATGTTTTGCTGGCGGCATGTTTGGCCTGGGGGCTAAGCTGTTCGACATCCCTTCGGATATGGTCATTGCAGAGAAGCTCACCAACGCGTGCGTGTGGGCTTACGCGTCCACACCCGTGGGTGTCATGGCCGAAGAATTCGAGCTTGTGCCCTGCGAGAGTCTCACCTCGTGCAAGTGGAATGAAAGCAGATGGTATGAAGCGCTGGACCCGAGGCTTGATGAAAGAACGCGGGCGGTTGAGACTTACAATGTGCATCAACAAAAGCTATATGAACAGCAACCAACTGGCTTGAACGATGCCCTGGATAATGAAGATGAGTTCGTTGTCTCACAGATGGATCTGGGTTCCCGCTTGAAGAAGAGAAACCCGCAGACAGACTTCGAAGGAGAAGAACGGACAGAGACGATTTTCTCGGATGATGCGGTCACGTACGCAAAACAAGTGCACCCTCTATCGTTTACACCGCGGGTCGCGCTGTCACACGAAGAATATGTTGCGGCCAAAATCCAGGAAGAGCGACTACCCCCAGGGTATACACGGATCAAGGCGCGGGACTACCGACTCCGACCTGAGGCCATCGAGTCAGTCTTTATTATGTACCGACTAACAGGAGATGAGACTTGGAGAGACAAGGGATGGGCTATGTTCAACGCAGTCGACAAGGCAACGAGGACGGAGATTGCCCACGCAGGCATCAGGGATGTGACCAGCCGACTGATGGAGCAGCAAGATTCTATGGAATCGTTCTGGCTCGCCGAGACGTTGAAATATTACTATCTCTTGTTCAGTGAACCGGACTTGATCAGCCTCGACGACTACGTTTTGTAAGTGATGTCCACAAGGCTCTGCTGAGAGTGTACCGACTAACTAGATGGATGCAGCAATACGGAAGCACATCCGTTCAAACGACCCAAGTGATTATTTTATCTATGATGACACTTTGTTCGGAATATGCACACACCAAGGGAGACAGCATCTTCTCTGTGTAAAAAGTCTGGGATAGCCACAGCATTTATACGGTGTTTGGAGTAAGGACAAATTGGACAGCCGACCTTACATTTCTCTGGATACTTTCCTTACCAGCAGTATCGACAGAGTGCGCTATAAAAAAGGTGTGTTGTGGCAACTCACCATTGTCTCCCTGTTGTGGACAGGGGGCGGGACCGGAACGCTGGGGAGAGAATTTGTGTACGAGGCACTCTCGTATATAGGTGGAGGTGGACTTCTGTGCAGTGACTATAAGTATGTACCGAGTACACAGCGTGCTTTGGGTTGCATATAGCTAGCCTGTATCATAGGCATGACAGGTACCAGTAGGTAGAATGATAGGCTAACAAGGCCCTAATGAGGTGGCTGGGTCACGCTGGGGGATCGTGGGCAGGCGAAAGACTATTGATTGACCCGCGGGGATCCGGGCCGATGCCTAAGCAACGTTGCTTCTCGTTAATGCTGTTTACCTACTTGGACCGCTTAGGCGTCTTAGCTTGTGTGGCCGGCTCTGTTTTGCCTGCCTGGCCTGCCCACTTCTTCCCACGTGCATCCCCGTTGCCGTCACCCGTTGCAGAGATTGTGACGTTGGGCGTCATGTCATGTGTTCGGAACTCGTCTGGCGTCCTCGAAATCCTACCCCAAACTTGGAATCAGTTCGCTCCACATCAAATCCGCACCCAACACCGTGACTTGTGAACATCTCGCCCTCCGTACCAACAGACAAGTACAGCTCCTTCGTCGCCATGTGTTGCTATAGGACCGATCGCTTCTGTTGCCCCGACATCTCTGCGCCTCTGATCGTATGAGGGGAGCATCTGAATTGTTTCTGCACACGCTCCTTTGACCAACTTTTGACCGACCAAAGACGATATGAAGCTGAACGTAGCATGGAACACGAGGTTTCTTATAACTTCGAGGACGAGGACCAGTTTTGGACCGGTACGAACAACCCCCGTCCGCAGTCCAGGACCAGGTTGTCTGACTAATTTTGACTATTTAGCTCTCGAAGAGACAATCTCCCGAGAATGCACTACCCATGATAGCATCGACGATACATTGCGATCCTACATAGAACTCATTGGGTTCTGTCGGGGTATGTGGTACCACAACTTGAAAAAAGAAGCGAAGATACCCAGGCTCATCGTACTCCCATATCAAATTCAGGACGCTTTCTTCTCAGCGACAATGATCTCGGTCGCTGTGCCTTCAAGCTCCAAGAGTCGTCACTCTTCGCCACCCACGCCGACTATATCCGCCGACAATTCATTCAGTGTCTGATCGAGGTTGGTGGAAGAAAAGCGGTATGCAGGCCAAAACAGAGGCTGATACATTACGCGCGCAGGATGACGAGCCAAACGTCGTGCTAGTATCAACGTCCTTCCTCATCACCCATGCGCAATTGCACGAAAGGACATACGAGCTGTTGAACGACGAAGGGGCATTCCCAAGATTGATCCATCTCATTTCGAGTCCGAAGCGATATGGCCACGAAGGAATCCACAGACTCCTCATGGAGCTGCTGTACGAGATGTCGCGCATACAAAAGATTAAAATAGGTGACCTGGGTACGTAGGCGATTTCGAAGACACGGCACTCGGCTACCCATTGGCAAAGACTGATTTCGCCACGTGAACACAGCGCTTGTCGATGATGACTTTGTCAAGATGTTGTTTGAGATTATCGAACAGGTTTCGGACGACGTCAATGACCCATATCACTATCCCACCATTCGAGTTTTGGTAAGCTCACCGAGTCCTTAGTTGAGCGACACGCAATTGACTGTTTCTTCAGCTTGTGCTCAATGAGCAGTTCATGGTTGCTGCTCACGACCCGGCCAATGGTCAGGCTGCGGTCCCTCTTACCAACAAGGTGATCAAGGTCTTGTCTGCCCACGGCAGTGAGTACAAGACCTTTGGGGAGAACATTATCCTACTGCTGAACCGTGAAGGTATTGTCTTCCGACGTGGCTACGATGGCTCTTGTACACTAACGTTAGCAGACGAAACCTCGTTGCAGCTTCTGACCCTCAAGTTACTCTACCTCCTCTTCACGACTCCCCCGACTTATGAGTACTTCTACACCAACGACCTGCGTGTCTTGGTTGATATATTGGTTCGGAACCTCCTGGATCTGCCTGAAGAGGCATCGTCCTTACGCCATACCTATCTTCGAGTTCTATATCCACTTCTCGAACATACCCAACTACAGTATCCTCCACATTATAAGAGGGACGAAATCCGCAAATTACTAGTTGTCTTGGGCGGGGGCAATCTTGCAGACCAAAACGGCTCCCATGAGGGTTTGCAGCATTGGGGCCATTTTGACGATGTTGACGAGACGACCAAACGGCTCGTCAAGCGGTGCGAAGGAGTCAGTTGGCTCATTGATCCGGAAACTGAGCCCCCGGTACAAGCAGAATCTCCAATTGATGAAGCAGCCTCTGATATATCATCGCCAACCTCTCCCTCGAAAGCTCTCCCACCGGCCCTTCCAGCACCTCGGAAATTGAAGAAACGAAACTCGTCGAAAGGCTCCACATTGACCATTGGTCAGTATCTCACCCCTCGACTCGAAGGAGCCCGACAATCCAGTCTGAGTATGATGGAGGTTGCGGCGCAAAAAGAGAAACCAGGAGTTATCACCCCAAGTAGGAACCCCGGACTGAAAAATAATCTTCGGGCAGTTATAATGCAAAAGAAGGAGAAACCTCCACCGCCTCAAGCCAGGAGATCTGCCTTTACGCGTATGAAGGCAGAAAGAATGGAGAGCGATGCCGAAATTGCGAAGATAGAGCTACCGAAAGCAGAGCCTGCGCCAAAGGTTGAGGCTGAAGCTCGTACTCAATCCAACAACCATCACCATCGTCACCCCCCTATTCCCTTCCATCACCACCATCACCATCATAAGGACCATGGTGTAGCCTCTTCATCGGTGGCGGCGGAGGAGAAAGATCAAGAAAAGGCTCAGCCGCCTCCTATTCCCTCTCATCATAAGGGCCACCATTTCGGCAAGAAGCCCCCACCTACGCCAAAAGCACGGCGCAGGCGAGGTAGGGAGGGTAGTGGTGATAGCACAAGAGAACCAGGCAAATTCAGCTCCAATCTGCCGTCCATTGTCACAACGACAACAACGGGCCAAAGAATTGTGGAACAATCTCCCTTCTCGCCGGTGGAGAAGACCTTCAGCCCCTCGGAGCCGGACTCCGCCTCAACAATCGACAGTCGTATGAAGCTCCCGGTCAGTGAGGCGCTAGAACAGGCACAAGCAACAGCCCTAGCACAGATTGAGGAGTCATTGGAGCACGTCGAGCTCAAAGAGGAGGTCCCGGGAGACCCGGCGGTAGCAGAAGGGAAGCCGGAGTCGCCCACAACGGGAGAAGGTCAGCAGAATGATGTTGCCCCTAACAGCTCGCATGATCTTTCCCAAGAGGAGGACCCGGTAGACAGGAAACAAGACCGACCAGGCATGTCCCGCGCGCATTCCCAGGAAGAGATCGACCAGCAGTTTCACGATGCTGTTCCCAATCAGCCGCTCTCGCAATCTCAATCTCAAACACACTCTCCAACACCATCCATATTTCTCACCAAATCCCAAACATTATCTCCGTACCCGACTGCTGGAGGGACGACCACGCCTCCCGATCCAATAACACCTTCCGTCACCATTACCATGGCCACTGGGACGGCAGGGGTCAATACAATGCAGCCGACTCAGACACAGCCTCAGCAAATGTCCAGGATGGTCCTCACCCCGCCTGCGCAAGAGCCGTCTCGGGGAGTCCCGGGCCCACAGTATGAATTGGAAAGGAGCCCGTTCCTGACCGACGAGGAGGTCGAGGAAGAAGAGATGGATCCCGTCGACGAAGATGAACGCGAACGCGAACGGGAACGGGAACGGGAACGATGAGCAAGGGAAAACCTACATGGCCAAAAAAGAAGGGCCATGCGTGACAAGCGCAAGGAGTCGTCAGATACGAGTAGATGAGTTGGATAGATAGATGGGTATCCGAATTTTTGGGTGGCCCTGGCCTGGCTTCTGCAGGTGTGCGTGTCTGTATGTGTATGTATGTACATAACGTACACAACATGCACACATACTCGGCAAGGGGGTAGATACCTACCTACCTACCTACCTATGCCACCGACCGGCCTCCTGTCCACATATACATCCAGTCGTTCATGTACAAGCAAGCAATTCATTCATCGACATACATACGTGGGTTCTTCGCGTGAACTTACGGACTGACTGATTGACTGGTTGAGTTGGAAAGCTACACATTTAGTTAGCTACAGTGCTTTCACTCCAGATGTGTGAAAAGGAATGCGGGTCAACGAGTAAGTCTACCAAAGGTGTATAGAACCATCACTTGACACCCGGACAGAAGAGACAATGGTGGCGACCAGTTTCGTGGATTGATGCACATGGCCTATCGCCTGCGGTGACTGCTGTGAGCTATTTCATGAGGCCAAGCGACATACATGGCGTGAGCGCATAAAAAACACAATAGCCAAAGCTCTACCCATATCCTGTCCTAGACCGGTCATGCCTGCATGCCTGGAACTGATGGTCGAATATAATGCTCTCATACCACCCATATCCCGTCATACGTACTGCACAGTAAACTGAGAGAACTCCATTGATATTGCCGGGAATTCTAGGCTCGAACCGCCATAGAACCATTTCCTCATTTGATGCAGACTAGGGGCTGTTGGATATGATTCAACTGAAATAGCCTCGTGGGACTCGCAATTGAAGAGCATATGTGGGTGTTGTACCACTGTGCTCGAACTCCAACCTCTTCCACGTAGATGGGCTATGCAATTCCTGGATCGGACTGTAATTCAAGGGCTGAGCAAGTGTTGTTCACAAGCAAGAGGGTCGACTGATTTCCGGGGTGTTGGGGAATCATGTCGCCGTCGAAAAGAAAAGAAAACAAGATAGAAAAGCTCATGGGCTGCCAGCTGGATTTTCCACATCGAAGTCCATCTCGAACGCCGTAAACGCCGCCGCCTCGCGGGAGTAACAAGTTTGTTCTTTGTAATGAAGGTGCAATTTGTCCATTGTAGAAATCGTCGATCGTGCTTCCAATCTTGACAATTACACATGCGGTTGTCGTACCGTGTGTGGGTTTTCTCCTTGGATATGCTGAGTTGTCCGTGTAAACTTGCCACTTGGTGCCTCTAACGCCGGGTTTCAGGGTGGATTGATCTCTTTGTGAATTTGTAAATGCTGTGCGACCGGGTGTAATGTGTGCTCTGGAACAAAAAACTTTCGTGGTCATCATAGGATATGATAGAGCGCAAATCAGTGGCCATAAATGCCAAAGTACTGCTCAACACCAAAAGCTCCTGGCGCCTTGTAAGTAGCATCATAGGCCTGGAACAGGAAGATGCCGCCTGGATTCGAGCTGAATGCATCCTTGAGAGAAGAGATCGCACTCGCCTGGTTAGCAGGGGATGGGACAGCCTGGCCATTAGGTGATCCTTGGTATGGCCAGCCGGACTCCGTGACGATGACTTGTTTGCCGTTTGCCTTCTGGGAGATAGGGGCAATCACGCTCTCAACAAAGGTGCCTGCATTATTGGCCGCTGTGTTAGGATCAAAGAAGGCGTGGGCGTTGACGGCGCAAAAGTCGGATGATTGACAGATCTGAGGATTATTCTGATGCGCAGTGAATGTGTCCACAGCGACAATGTTCTTGTTGAACCCAGCAGCCTGCAGAATGGGACGAGCCACGGCGAGAGCAGCGACAACTGCAGCGGCAGAACCACCGGCATTGACCACTTCATTCCCAATGACGACAGTGTCGACAGGACCCCAGTTTCCGTTGATCATGCCAATAAGCGTGCTCAAATCACCAGCAACATTGCCGATAGTATTAAGACCCAGCATAACTTGCAGACCTTGAGCAGCGGCAGCAGCTGTGGCCACACTAAGATCACAGCCAATGTCGTAGAAGCGGATTTTGGAGAATCCTTGACTGGCCAAGAAGCCAAACTCGGAATCCATGGTGCCGCGGTCCTTGCAACCATTGCTGCCGATGAGTTCGTAGCAGATACCATAGCCACCGCCAGCTCCGGCACTGGCTCCACCCTTGACGTCTTTGTATGAGTTCCCTTTGTCAGCTGCTGCAGCGATGCTTTTTTCAGAGGAGGGGGTATCAGAGGTAGTCGAGGGCTGAATGACGCTCACGACTGGTGGAGGAGAAGAAACCGCAGCTTGGGAAGAAGGAGCCGGCGGGGCAGGCGGCGCAGATTCGGGAGTGGGAACTGGCACAGAGGCAGGCGATTCAGACGCATGAGAGGCTGACTCGACAGGAAAGGGTGAAGCGTGGCCGGGAGGCGGAGTATATGCAGTCGGCACGACCACAGGAGTTGCAGCGGAATGCGAGGCGACAATGGTTGGAGTTGGGTGATCACGGTATTCGGTGGACAGGACATTGTTGTACTGATCAACCCAGACGACAGCATTGTTGGCCGTGACAGTAACGACGTCAGTGACAGTTGCAAAGTCAGTCTCTACGTGGTGGCGCGCAGGATGCTGATGTCGATGATTGCCTCCTATGTTACAGGTAAGCTTCCAACTAGAGCACAGCGGAGACCCTGAGAGACTCACCATGGGGAATTGCCAGCACGACCGGGGCGCACAGAGCAGCCAGATGCAAGGTTGTTGCTCTCATGATGGACAGGCCGACAGATGAGAACTGGTTGGAGCAGTGAAAGGAGCGTCAGGACCTATATGGGTGGAAAGCGAAAGTAGTAAGCACTCTGTCTCACCGACCGGCGGCCTTGAAAAGAAGGGAAGCTTGCAACAGGGTTGACAAGGCGTATAATGATCTTGTATAGAGGAAGAGGGAGATTGTCAGTCGGTGCCCACTTGGCCCGTGCGCCATCATCGACGGCTTAAGTAGCCGCCTTTTGTTCGCATAGGCGACGACTAGACAAAGCACAGACAATGATGATGGATATCTGGGCTGTGTCCAGAACGCTGCTTCTGGGAGAGACCAAGAATGCACAAAGGCTTCAGGAGCGACTCACAACGCGAGACGCGCCGGAAGCGTTGTTTTCCCCTCCCTTGGTAACTGCGAACAGGGATATAGAAATCATGGCGGCGACGACAAACAAGGAATTGGACGAACTCACCGGTTTGATCTGAAAGGAGTGACTTGATGAAGTCGATAGAGATGAGGCACAGGTCGCGGAAGAGTGAGATTGATGTCGTTGTTTGGCTATTGCGGAATCCAGGAATGTTGGTTGGAATCCGGGTCCTGAGCGGCAGAATTTATATCTGGCACCACTGTCGCTTCACCATCCTTTCACCTTGGCGAAACTGCTCAGAGTGTCACTCGGTCTGATCAGCTGCTGCAAGGCGAGCCGGGTAAACACGGTCATACATGGGCAACAACATGGTAAACCGAACTTGACCATGTGCTGTGGAGGGAAGCATTTTCGCGTCACCTTGATCACTTCTAGGCCCGAGTCTGGCCTCTATTTTGTATCTAGTGCCGTTCAAGCTGTCCCGAGAAGTGTCATACTAGGCTGTCAGTGTCACTCGACGCGAGCCTTTCTCCGAGTATGATGTTGATGCAATGTAACTCGACCGGTGAGCATATACCTACCTTCTTTTGTTGGGTATCTTCTTGCTTTCGACTGGTCAGTAAGTAAATTATCAGCGACTCCATCTCGACAGGGCTTATAACGCTCCATACTTAGAGCCTCTGGATCGATTAGACCAGAGAAGCCATCATTGGAAACGACATTGGGAATTTGCAGTTGCACTTCACTACAGTGCCACCGACTGCGCTTGAAATTCAAAACACCCCAACAGTGACGAGTGTAATTTACATAGGCCATATGACCCATGGCGGGACACAAGCCGCCATCGAAGAAGCCCTTGGAGTACGAGACGAGGCGCAAACCGAGAGTTGACGTTGACTCTGGAGTCGGAAGGGAGTTTCAATCTTGGCCGGACTGGGTTTAGCCCAGACATTATACAGCCTCGTCAGCCTCGTCAGCCTCGCCGGTCAGCCTTATTTCCCCACAACGAGATATAAATAGATTACATACTCCCAATGTTCATGCATGCATTTGATCTATACGGTATCATCAGTCATCACCCTGAATCGCTCTGGTGCCCGCAGTCATTGTCTTCCTGTCCTAGACTCCCATAGACGTCGTTCCGGCTATGCCAAATCTTGTCCTCTCACAAAGCCCCGGAAAAAATGAGTTGCAACCCAATCGTCAACCGCCTCGTTCACCGTAGTCTCTGGCCCACTTCTCAAACTCTTCCAATCCCTTCTTACTCACACTCGGTCGAATGCTAGCCAAACTGGCTTCGAAATCCATCATTTGAATGGGCCGAATCTGCTCCTTCGGAGTGTACAGCAGAGCTTCGCCGAGATGCCTCAAGGGGCCCATGGCGGCGTCTTTCGCAAGAGCTGTAATATCGGATCCAGAGTAACCTGATGCGGAGCAGTGAGATTAGTGTGACAAGAGCAGGGCCAGGAGCGTTCAGGAACTTACCCTCCGTTAGCTCCACCAAGCGAGCGATGTCCTCTGGGCCTAGATCATGCTTTTGATGCCCAAGTAACGTTCGAATTTGTGTCTCCCTGGTTTCTGCCTCGGGCAAGGGAATGTACTGTCTTCTCACGAATCGCCGCCTCGCTGCATCATCAATGTCCCACGGGCAATTTGTCGCTGCAAGCACCAGCACTCGACTAGCGTCCCCCACAGTCGTATCCTTCCCAGCCGCTGCTCTTTGCAAGTCCGACCACTGGATGAGAAATTCTGTCTTGCTCCGCCTCGATGCTTCGTGCTCGCTCGACCCGCTTCTGGCACTTAACAGGGAATCGATCTCATCGACGAAAATGATGCTCGGCGCCAGAGCCTTCGCCAACGCAAACAAGGCTCGGACGAGCTTCTCTGACTCACCATGCCATTTGCTCGTCAGACTGCTAGCACTGATGGCGAAAAATGTGCTTTTGCTTTCAGTAGCGACAGCCCTTGCAAGCATGGTCTTGCCGGTCCCTGGTGGGCCGAACAGGAGCATCCCTCGAGCAGGCTCTCGCAACCCCATAAACAAATCCGGTCTAAGAAAAGGGTATACCACTGCCTCCTTTAACGCCTTTTTGGCAGCAGAAAGCCCGGCAACGTCATCCCAGTGAACTTCATCCCCCTTGACGACAATTTCGTTGATGATTTGCTTGGCGGCGTTTTCATCCACTCCTTTGGGCAAATTTTTGAGAATGTTCTCCATTCTTTTCTCCTCCGGTGACAGACCATCCTCTTCGGGAGACTCCCCATCCGTGGAGGGTGGAGTGATTGTGTTGGCGCTCGCGGTCCTGTTGCCACGGCCTCGTCTCGGCCTGTCAAGGTTTCGTTTAGGTGCGTCGTCTTCGCTGTCAGAATGTGGATCCCTTTTTTGGGGAGAGCGACCTCTTGTCTCAAGCGCTGTCCCCGCCGCACCAACTGGTTTGCGGGATATTCCCGTCGCACCACCAGAAGATCCAACTTTTGGGTAAGCTCTCTCAAGGATATTTCTCGCGAGAGGCTGGGGCACGTTATGTGCTCGCGGAGGATACTCTCTTCGATAGGTAATCTCTGGTGCTTTCGGCAAATGAACAGGAGACCTGGTTCTTACTTGGGGACTCGCTTGGCCGACGGGCGACATGTGTTGTGAAATCGGCGGCGTCTTCTCAGGTTCCGAATCGAGGTCGATCAGGCTAGGTGCGGAATCTGGATTCAATTTTAGGCTTTCCATAGATTTGTTGATTGATGATGGTGGTGGTGCAGAAGCCGAGGTTGGGATGTCACGCGTGGAATGCTGTGACAAGTAATCAGGGACACTCAGTAGAGACGACGCATTTGACTTGCGTTGCTCTTCGTATCTGGCTGTCGCATCTTGGTCAATACTCCGTCTTGCAGCGGTGGCGCTGAGTCTAGCTTCGATCGTGGGGTCTGAATCTGGCCTCTGGTTGGGCTGAGAGTTCTTCCGTGGCTGAGATTCCCATGCCAGACCAGCTGCTTTCATAGTCTCTGTTCTTCTGTCACGGTTCGAAGTTGATCGATACTTCATGAACCCCCTCCTCTCCGGGCGTAGTGTTGTCCGCATCGTTTTCCTGCCATGGTCGGGACTCGGACTTCTTGAGGCCTTCATGCTCGGGACGGGTAAGGTGGGAGGAGGACCCAAAGGCGACGACCGAATCCGCGAAATAGGGGAAGTGCTGTCATGTGCCACGGTCTCGCTACTCCTGGTAACACCCAGTGGTGGACGTGGAGGCAATGCAGGTGTCGCATTGGGTAGCTCAGACATTTGCATTGGTGGTATCGTCTCTCCTCCAAGCCACGAGCCAGGCTGTTCAGATGTCGGGGGCGTGGATATCGACGGGTGTCCTCTGCTCTTCCCGAGACGCTTCCTTCCACTGCTGCCATTGCCGCTCATATTTCCATTGCCATTGCCGCCTCCGCCTCCGCCTCCGTTCTTGTGGTCTGTCCTGTCTTCCTTACGAGATTCTATGCCCAACTCTTCCCGGCTTCTCTTCAAAGTCTCCAGGAGATCGACTCGTTCCTTACACTGTATCTCCAATTCTCGTAGGGAGTCGTATAGCGCCCGCTCTGTTTCCGACCGGGGAGAGTAATTCGATGAAAGTTTGTAGGCTTTGTAATGGATGATTTGGTCGAGCGCTGCCTTCCATGACCGGAGAGCCTCGGTCTCATTGCTCTGTGAGGTGCCACTGTGTTAGTGCAAGATTATGGAGTTGGAACATGGCGTTTGCATTACCTGGCCTTCGAAAAAGACCGCCGTAGAACATTGCAGATAGGCCTCATCGTAAGTCTTTTGCATTGACGAGGAAGGCTTGCTCCGCAACATCTTGTAGGGATTGCGAGGATGCGGACATGCTCATACCAGACGGAAGAAGAGGACGAAGTTATGGCATAGGACTTGTGACTTAATCGGGCGTGTGCAGCGAACGATGGCTGAGCCTCGAAAGGATCTGTCGAAATGGGCCAGAAGGCGATGCGCAAGGACAACCGCAAACTAGTCACTCGAGTCCCGCTGCCCGTTGCCCGCTTCCCACTCAACCCACTGTCCCAAGTACACAGCCTGCCCCCCATACGTCACCTGAACAATAACAGTTGCCCTGCAACCCCCGTCATACGAGTCCTCACTAAACACGAGGCTCGTCCTTTTGCTTGCACGAGGCCTTCCAGATTCGCATTACCTCTACAAGACTTTACATGCGAGATGGCAACTTCACCGGCAGAACAAGGCACGTGGACTCTTGCGAATAAGGTAAACACTGGCACGACCACCACCACCACACATATCGCTCACATAGCATCTTCAATTCTCATTGCTGATTAGCCTGGTCTATCAGATGATGGAAAGAGACCGACAAACAGCTGGTCGAAACGCTCATTCCCATCCCACTTTTGGTGTTATGCCATAGATGTACAGTATTATCCCAAAATCCCTGTCCCCAGGCATCGACAGGTGAAAAAGGGCAAGGACCAGCGCCCCTGCTCCCGTTGCCATAACGCCCTTTAGTTTTTGCAAATATGCATGAGCCCTTCCTGTCATGGCAAAGGTTCAGCATCCTCTGTCGAATAGAAATGATCGTGATCATGCTTGAACAGCAGACACAAGTATGAGTACCGCGGCCGACGACCTCCCAAATGCACCTCTTCTGGGTATCTTGTATGCGCAAAGGATGTTATGAAATACCATTGACGCGCACTTCGCAAGAGGCATCAGATCATGCTTAATCCCTCAATGATTCTGGGACACGGAACCGCGGAAGCGATGTGCGTCGAACACGAGATCGATCATAACTTATTGGTATGAGATGTCTGTTCTTCCCGAAGCGTCCTCTTGAAGTAAGCCTTTGCCATTTCATATGACGACCTAAAACTTTGTCAGATTGTATGGATATAGACAGGGACCGTTCTGGCCTTACCAGCAGATGGCGGTGCTTGGCATGGTGGTGATAATTCTAGGCCGCCAACCTCTCATAAATCCCCTCCAGCCGAACTCTTTCTTGATAATGGACGCAGCGTGGAATAATCCTCGTACATTGCGTATCTCGGCTTGTTGACTCAATCCTCTCGTCTGGAGTAAAGTCTTGATCACATCCAGCGGAGTGGTAATGCCGGCCGCAAAGGCTCCAGCCAAGCCACCAGCCACGCAATGTGTGATCGGATCATACTCTTTCCGAGGATTCATGACTTTGGAGAGAGATTCGTAGGCCATGAATTGCGTAGCCGTGAAGGGAACTGTCATACATAGTGTCGTAGGGTAGGATACGTAGAACGCAGAAAGACCCTCGGCGCGCCAGACTGAACGGGCGCATTGCGATATCGACCGGTAGGTCGATCCGTGTACCTGCATCCGTTGTTTTATGACTGTCGCAGACGGTCAGCATCATATCGAGGAATTTTGTGCGGAATCTAGAGTGAGTCTATACCATCAAAAGGATTCATCAAAGCGTCACTCGCAATGGTTGCGCACGCTCCGCTCGCAGCTGTAATTTCCAGTTAGCACCTCGGTCGGCCCCATTGCAAGCCCGGCAACTCCAGAGGTGACATACCAGCAGCGAGAGGATGATGTTTGCCATCTGCTTTGTTGCCACCTGCAAATTCTTTCACCACTTCGTAGGTGCCAAAATATACGGCATGAGCAGGGCCTGTTATCGATCATTAGATTTGGACGCAGTCTGTGTCGGTCGGATTTGACGACGCACCTGCACCAACAATGACACTGGTCACTCCTCTCCATAGCGTCCGCAGGCCTTCTATTCGATATATCGTAGAGACTGCATGTGAAAGCCCCGTATAAAGGCCGCCGGCTGCAGGGTTTATGATTTGCATCCGTGTCTGATTTCAATATCGCATTAGCATTGTATTCCCCGCCAGTGCCGGAAGATAGACAACTGTGTACCTTCATCAAGTCCACCGGATACATGACTGTATGTTCCTGAGACAACTGTCAATCTTTTATCTCTATCTCTTGATTTTCTTTTGCGTACAGCAATGCCTGCGAACGCGCCGGCCAACATATTGTGTCCGAGACCGTAGTTTGGTGGTAGAGCTTCATACCTGCGAGAGTGTCAGTGCTGGTTCTCACCATGCTCGACAAAAAAAAACACCACTTACTCATATTCTTCACCAGGTACTGCATCCGGGCTGCTCGACACTGACATATTCTCCGCGGGCAATGCCGCTGGGAATTTGGCTGACGCCGCCACGGTTGCAGATGGTATTTTTGTGCCTGCGATCTGCAATCGTTCCACCGAGGACGAGAGGGTTGCTTGGAATAGCAAACGAAGTGAAGCGACAAATCCTTCGTGACCGGGAGAACGGCTCTTGCGAACACGGTATGTCGGAGTGAGTGTACAAGTAAAAAAATCGAACCACAGCAATATCAAGTCAGAGCCAGAGCGAAATAATGGCCCGGGCGAGGCACTCAGATCGCTCCAAAGATTTTGGGTCGACCTCACGGCTGCTGCTTAGAATTTTGAGCCAGGGTCTCCTAAGCTTGGGGCTGGCTGGGGTTAGCTAAGATGGCTGGTTGGTTGACGGGCACTGCGGCTTGACAAAGAGTTCACCCTCAATGACGCCCCTAGGTGACTCGGTGACTCTAGAATCCTTCTTTTGGGCCACGCACTTGGGTTATGATGCCTACCTACTGGTACAGTACAGAGGTCTTACTACTCCCTCTGCCTGCCCTTGGCCGGGTCACCTCCGCGGTCTGTCCGTGAAGGTGTCGTATGAAAGCTGCCACTCTGCGGGCGGCGACTTCTTCGCTTTGTCTTCCGATCTCGCTCTCTGCTCGCTGTCTAACTCCTATTCTGGCATCGTCTCCCTCGCCCTCGCCTCGGCGTCAACCTTCTTGCTCGGTCGTAATTCACCGACATGACAAGGTACTGTACATTCGGTCTCCCAGGCGGGGTTGAAATCACCCTTCGTATTTTGTGTCTAGTCTAGGTACCTCGTACGTAGTGGTGATTTATCCCTGCTAACTGTCGGAAAAGTAGCGGCTCCTCCTACGTCGCCATATTTCCGTCCCTCCACGTACCGCATCCACAGAATGAGATTTTCAAAAATGCGTTTATTCATGTGTCCTCGGTATGGCGCATCCTGAATGTCTGTCGCAACTAAGGGAATGCACTGTATCGCAATACACATAGGCTCACTCTTGAGGAGAAGTTCCAGCTGCCAACCCACTCTCGTTCGAGACATGCACTCTGTTTTCAATGAGTAGGAAAGTAATAAGCCGACCCTGCTGTTGAATAATGCTCCCAACGCCCTCTACCGTAACAACACTCTCGAGTCAAGTGAAAATGTCCTTGATCTGAGCGCCATCCGTTCATGACAATGCATCCAAATTAGCCTTTCCATCAGGGAACGCCTCGCTAGCACAGCCGTCAACCTGCCGCCAGGTTGGTCATGCGTATCGCCGTTAGCTATCTAGGTATTCATGACATATCATAGTTCAACATTGAACTTCCATTGGTCTGTCACAATCAGTCAGCAAAGAGTCGCACCAAATTATTCGGGGTCAACAAACCTTTCTTCAGATTTTCGGCAGTGTCGCTCAATAGGATCTCTCGTCTCCGGTTGCAGTAAGTTGTCTTGTCCAGAATCTCAACCTTCAAGTTGCCGAGCTCATGCACGGGCTTCTCGAACATCTGACTCAGGTTTTCTACCGCCATTTCCAGATCCTTTTGATTGTCCTCGAAGATCTCCGTCATGTTGTTGCGAGCAAGGTAAAAAGCAAATGCATAAGTCCATTTCAAGGTCTGGCGACAATTTTGTAGGGCTTTGGAGGCAGTGTCGAGAAACTGAACTTCAATCCACGACATGTTAGATTGGGATTGGAGGCTTGTCATCTTCTTTTCGGTCTTCAGCCACAAGTCTTTGTCGAGTTTGGCCGACTGCTCGTGGTTGGCGTATCGGTTGTAATAGTGCAAATATCGTTCCAGCGAGTGCCGAGAACGTGCCTGAGCATCACGAGCATCGGTTCCTGACTTCTCCTCGAATCGGTTGCAATTGTACCAACTAGTTCCATGCTCCGACCAAGGGCCCATACACATCCAGCAAAACTCGTGTTTGCATTTCCGGCAGGTCATATGATTGCAGCCTCCATTCTTCTCGATGGTTGAATTGCACTTCGGGCACTCCTTGGTGTTGGCGGAAATCCAGTTCGAAGTTTCCGAATCATCCTCGCACTTCTTCAACCATTTCTTGACGAGAGCACAGGGGGCCGGGCGATGATCGGCAAGCGTGCACCCAAAGCAGAACATGTGGTCGTGAGCACAGCGGACAGTCGGGACAATCCGACTGAGGTCTCGTTTCCTCACAGGACAATCCACAGCATATTCACATTCGGGAGCCGGGCACCACTTGAGATTGTCCTTGTCGTCCACATATGTTCTAGTGAGAAGGACATGGTAGCGGTCCATGACACTCTGGTCAACCAACAGCCTCAAGGATTTGGAGTCCACGATCCGGTGGCAGCCATCGAAGGGGCATTCGATTCTAGCAGCTTCCCCTTCGTCCTTGACTTTCTGGGTCAGGTATTGGGTATAACAGGTGGTACAATATCTGTGATCGCATTTCATGGCATACGTCTCCAGGTCTGGAGAGTCTTCAAAGCAGATCTCGCAAGTGAAACCCTTGACCTTCTTGGTCTTTGGTGCCTCTGTAAACGTCGGTCCCAAGCCAGCGGCCTCGAGAACTTTGTCCTGGTTGTCCATGTACGATTCGATCAATTTCTCCTTGTTCCATCTCATGAATCGAAGAAGGATAGCGGTCTGTTCCACAGGTAACTCGATGATGGATGACACTTCCTTGAACTGTTGTTCTTGCTGGGTGTGAATGTCTTCCGGGCTGAGGACCTTGTAGTCGACTTCGTAGGGCTTTTGTGGGTTTGTAAGGATGTCTTTCTCATAGCCAAAGCCACCATCATGGTCTTGATCGAAGTCTATGGTGAGTGATCTTTATCAGTTTTCTGGCGCCACTGCAAAGAAAGTGGGGAAATACTGACCACCTGGTAGACTGGCAATATCGCTGTCTTGTGTCCCTTCATCAAAATCAATCTCATCCCCACTCGGTGGATCCGACATGAATTCGTCTTCTGAATCCATGGCCTTGGAAGACGGCGAGCCGTGGTCGGTTATGGGAGTCGACAGACGCTGCGCAGGGAGATCGGAGGTCTTGCGTGCTTTTATGGGACCGTTGCTTGACGCGTCAGCGACGCACTCTGGAGCCTTTCTTTTCTTTGATTGAGGTGTCGTGTTGGCTTTGATAAGGGCAGCTGCGTCTCCAGATGAGACAGCAGGCTGCGATTTTGGTGAGGGGATGACCGGAGAAGCAGGTGACCAGCGTCTCAGAGACCACTCAAGTGTTCCGACAGGTAATTGGCGGTTGTCTCAACAGGGACAACGCTCAAGGGACAGGGAAGACAGTTTCTGGCACATATCAAGACTATTTGTAAGAGTTTGGACGGGTAGGAACAAAGATGTCGAGTCGAGGCCAAATGATGGAAGTGAAAATGGTTTCGGAGTAACAAAGGAGACATAGGGCCACTTGCGGGTGGTACCAGAGCCAGACTCACCAGGTCCTGGGGGATGGAACGGGGCGGGCGGCGGGCAACTTCAGGTTTGCAGGGTGGCGGTCGCCAATTACTGATGTGATCGTCATACTCCAATTTTCCTGACACGTGACTGGAAAGAAACTGCAAAGCCTCGTCTTCAGGTCAGTAACTCGTAGGTACTTTATCTGCCATTTTGGTCCTTACTGCTAAGGCGTCCATTGTCCAAAAACACACCATGTCTTTAGGGTTCTTACCAGCAAGAGATCTGATGACACGTGGCGTTGACCGATATTAGAAGGATGTTTCATGAATACATGGCATATATCACCCATGGGCAGAACAGCCACTTGGCAGACTGCTCATTCGTCCTCTTCCTCGCTTTCACTCTCGCTCTCGGCGTTTTCTAGCCAGTCGATGAATTGCGAGCTTGGTTGTCTTACGGCTGCCATCTCTGGGTCATTGTTGGATCTTTCATCGGCCCACCATTCGGTGAAGGCCTCTTCACCAAACACCTCAAGATCATAGAGATCTTTGATGACGAACAAAAGGGTCTTGCCGCCATCTTTCCGCTTGGACAATTCCTTTTGGGCATCAAGCAGAAACGAGACTTGTTCTTCGGTTGCCTGTTCTGCGCCTGTCCTGCGAACCAGGGGGTTGTATGCGGTAAGTATCCGCCTGGTTGCATCTGCAGCAGATAGTCCAGCCTCAATTTCCCCATGAATATGCCTCATAAGCGCCACAGCGACTGCTTTGCGGACTTGTGTCTCATCTGCTCCGCCGCTGAACCTCAAGCCCATCAACTCGCTAAGCATATCGTCCACGTGCTTCCCTTCTTGCATACGCTGGATGAGGATCGCCACTGTGTCGTGTTGGAATCGGTCGGAGGATTCATCGCCAAAGCTTTGACTTCGTGATCCGCCTAGAGAGGAGATTTCGTCTTCAGACATGTCCGAGTCCAGGGTGGACACTGAATCCGCAAAGTCCGGTCTGTTGTATACCAATCTCGAGAGCTTGGAACTCAGGTAGTCTTCCTCGTCCTCCACGTAAGCATGACCTTCACCTGCGTCACCAACAAACATGGCATCATTTTTCACTTTTCCATCTGCCCGCTGTGGTGTTTTGACAATTCTTGAACCGCTTGGGACTGTGGTGCCAGCGGCGATCTTAACGCCGAAAGATATCAGAACGCCTTCTTCAATGATGCAATCATCGCCTATGAAAGCCTCGTCGCCTATGATAGCACGTGAAATTTTGACATTATTGCCAACAGACGCATCATCCCATATGTAGGCAGCATCAATCTTGGTATTCCGACCAATATGACACCGTTGGCCGAGTATGCTATTCCTGATGTCGCACCCTGCGCCGATGGTGGTTTCGGGGCCGACTATTGTGCCTACTTCGAGCTTCGTGGGTTTGGCGACAATCACCTTTTTGTCAACAACAACTCCGTCCTGCAACCGCTCGTAGTGTGTATTGCCGAAGACATTGTTTTCGACTGCAATTGATGCGATTACACCTTGTTTCAAATCTTGAGATATGGCCTTATATGACCAGAAATCTGCCGCCCGGGCGGCGTAATGGTCCTTGACGATATATGTGTGGATCGTCTTGCCATTCAGTTCCCAGTCCTTGAGAACACCAAAAAGAAAGTCTTTTCGAGGTGACTGGTTGTCAAAGTTGTCCGACCACAGGCTGAGAACATCCGGCGTGCAAATGTCGATTCTGCAGTCGATGAGGTCCTGTCGAACCTCTAGCTCAGGAGTTTTCAACAATTCCGGATCAATGTGGGAGGTGAACTGACTGCCTGGAAATGCTTCCTCATAGTGCAGACACCTATCTTTGGTTGGGTCGATGACAAAAGTTGGCACTACTCCGCCACTATGGTCGTGTATTCCCGGCTCAGCCTCCCTCAGAACCATGGTCATGATGGCATTTTTGTCCTTTTCTCGTCGGGTCTTGTGCTGTCGTAGAGCCTTTTCAATGGGAAAGTTTGCGATTATGTCACCGCTGACCACAATGAAGTCTCCAGCCATCAAGTGCTTTTGGTCGAGATCTCTCATCAGGTCACCCACCGAGCTCGCAATGCACCTCAGCAGGATTAGACTCTCAAAGGGTGAGTTGGACGACTTCCACCGAGACCCCTCGATGTAGGATTCCACTTGATCGGCATGTGCCCCGGCATAGACATAGACAACTTGGACCCCTGCACTCGCTAGATACTCGAGAGTGTACTCAATCAGCGGCGTGTTGGCCAGAGTCAGTAGACATCTAGGTTTCTCCAGGGTAAATGGGGCAAATCTGTCTTCGAACGTATCTGCGACGACGACAGCCTGAAGAGGATCTTGCTTGTTGTCATCTGCAGACCTGCCTCCTCCGCCTGCAGATCTTGATTGTTTGGGTGGCATAGCTGATTGTTTGGCTGCTCGATTTCAGTTTCTTTAGTCTATGCTATGAATTTCGGAGCCCGAGGGAGCGTGAATTCGTGGCGATGAATATGTTCTGCAGTCGCATATTAGGGCAGTGATGGCTTGCTCGAGAGCGATAATATGAAATGACTTCTACCCGAGTTTGAAGGGCACGACTCCCTTGGAAGATCAGCCTCGCAGGGACTTGGGCAGATGAAACAAGGCCTGAAATGTCGTGAGTCAATTATGACTGGTCGGGCACTTTGAAATTTCTGGAGCAGATTTCCGGATCTCAGCGATGGGGGATTGTTAGGGTGGCATGGTGGCCCAGTAGAAAATAATAGTGGGTGAGTTTTGCTGCAGTTGTCGATTCTTAACTGCGCCAAGCCTCTCCCGCAGCAAACAGGGGGCATCCCAGGCGTCACAGGCGTCAAGCCCCAACTCTTACCTCGTGCTTTGGGAGGGTGCACCAGGTGCTTGGTACTGTGTACGAGGCATGTAGTAGGGAGGCCCAGGGTCCAGAGTGCGTGAAATAAGTCGTACGTCATAGTCATGGGAAAAGCGAGAGTCGCCCCCAATCGTTGCCGACCTTTCAACTGCGCCCGTGCCTGATTAAGATGCACTTTTGGATCCATTATTCGTATATATCTTTTTGGTTGTTGTCATTGTCCGCTGGTTCTGCCAATTGCTCATTCCTACTCTCTGAGACGATTTGAATTTCTTGCTTGCATTCCCTACCCTAGATTCGGGATATCACCTTTGCCTCCTCTCTACTCCTCGAAATTCCACCTCTGTCTGATTCGGTCTGTGTCGCTCGTTGTAACCATCACCGCTACTACCTCCTCCAGTAGTCAACCTATCCTCCCTTTCGTCATGTCGACCGATTCCCAACCGGCGAATCCGCAGATGGAATTGGACCCGAAATATGACGACTATGACTTCCCCACGACTGCCCCCGAGAACAAGTCGGGTCATCCTGGCCATACCACCAAGGAACAGGATGCACAAGTGCACCAGCTAAGGGCTATGCTGGAACAAGAAGGATACACGGAGCGGCTGGATACTTTGACTCTGTTGCGCTTTCTTAGAGCCCGCAAGTTCAATGTCGAGAACAGCAAGGCAATGTATGGTTTTCTACGAACAATTGATATAAGCTAGAGACTGATAAAAAGGGTTCCAGGTTCATCAAGAATGAACAATGGCGAAAGGAGTTTGGTACTGACGACCTGGTTCGCACATTTGACTATACAGAAAGAGCTCAGATGTTCCAGTACTATCCACAGTACTACCATAAGACGGACAAGGTAGGGCCACGGTGCACGGGTCGACGGTATCCAGTATCACTGACAGATGTCGACAGGATGGGCGCCCTGTGTATATCGAACAATACGGCAAAATCGATCTGAATGCCATGTACAAGATCTCTACTGCTGAACGAATGGTGCAAAATCTGGTGGTAGAGTATGAAAAGGTGGCCGATCCACGACTGCCCGCTTGTTCGCGCAAGGCAGGCAAACTCCTCGAGACTTGTTGCACAATCATGGATATGAAAGGGGTTGGCGTCGGACGAATCCCGTCCGTCTACGGCTACCTCAAGTCTGTCAGCGCCATTTCCCAAGACTACTACCCAGAGCGACTGGGCAAGCTATACATCATCAATGCACCATGGGGCTTTGCCAGCGTCTTCAGCTTCGTCAAATCGTTCCTCGACCCAATCACGGTCGCCAAGATCCACGTTCTTGGCTCGAACTACCAAAAAGAGTTGCTGCAACAGGTCCCCGCAGAAAACCTCCCCAAGGAATTTGGCGGCGAGTGCGAGTGTGAAGGTGGCTGTCAATTCAGTGATGAGGGACCCTGGAAAGACCCCAAATATGCAAAGCCGCCTAAATGGGCCAGAGAGGATCCAGTTACCGGCAAAGACGCTGCAAACACCGTGCAACCTGCGCCGACTGATGGTGCTCAAGATCCAACCACGGCACAAGCGCCGGCCCCCGCTACTGCCCCTGCGCAGGCTGAGAATGCGCCAGGCGAAGGACCGAAGATGCCCCTGGAAGAGACTGCAGGATCGTAGGTATTTTATCTCAGACCATTGTCAAAGATTGCGCAGCAGGAAGACCCCCCATGGCATGCCTACAGATTTTGAAGAAGGTGGAAGAAACAGAAGAACAGTATGCCAGTACCTAAGCTCAGAGCGGCGCCTGGATCTGCTTGCTGTACATTTTGACGATACATTGGCTTTCGGAGGAGATCTTCTGATATCTCCCCCCGAATACACCTCACTTCATGAAGCGCGAGCTTTCTTCATTCTCCTCCTGTCGCTTCATAAGGCAGTCCTGGAAACCGTTGCCTACCTAGACAGGCGACCACCAGATCGTTGGTAGCTCAATATGATCTCGGCACCTGCCAACACCTACTAATTGGTCTTTGCTCACACCTTGCACCTCTGCTTGAGTTCCAGTCCAGAGACTGTCCTGTAGATTGGCCTCTGTCGAAAGGCGACGGGGCTTGATTCGGAACAGCGCGACTGACTCTTGGTTCTTGCGAACGCGGATTCCTTGCAGCACCGTGTCCGAGAACTCTGGACTTCCTTCTAGTCAATGCTCTCTTGAACTAGCGATCAATGAGGTCGTTCATTGCCGTGGATATTGACGACGAGATGCCACGCCCACGAGGGTCGTATATCTCTCTTGAGCTAGACATCCAATTGTCCGACCTCTCAATATCCGCAATTCAATGCCGGGAGCCACGGTGAGAGAGACAACATTGGAGTTGTCCACGTCTCTTGAGTCGAGGCCGGGGTTCATGGGGTCATGATCCTGCTAGAGCCAGGAATGGCTCTGTGTAATCAATGACCGCTCACTCAAACTCCATGGCGACGGTCCTCGCACGTTGAACCTTGCCCAGAGTCTCCGTCAGACTTGCACCATACACTTGAGCATCAGCTGCGTCCTCGGCTTTGTTAACGCCGGCCAGAGCAGCAAGCTCGCTCGTTCCGCGGTCATACATGGCGTGGACATCGTCAAACCACCCGTCTCGTGGGGGCTTGAACTTGAGACCGCCGCCGTCTCCTCCCGCGTGTGCCTCTCCCGAGCTCGTAATTTGCCGCTCGAATTCCATGTCGTCCGACTCCATCTCTTCCTTCAACCGCTTCGCGAGCATCTCAGCGCCTTGCGCGGGGGCCGTCCTTCTCAGGTTGCTCACTTGCGTGGTCAACGTCTCGAGTTCGCCGTAGAGCGCCGCGACTCTCGCCTGCAGCCGGCTGTCGTAGGGCTCGTAGACGAAGTCAACCCCTTCCCTCTCCTCCTTCTCTTCTCCCTGCTGCTGGGACGCAGGCGCGCGAGGCGCCGCGCCGGCACCAGGCAGAGTCGTCGCGTCCAGCCCGTTGACGGCGATGTTCTTGCACGCGCCGTCCCAGGTGCGCGCAATGAACGCCTCGACGACCTCACGCACACGCGCGCGCAGCGGATCCTCGACCGCCGCCGCGTGCCCACTACTCGTCGCACCCGTGTCGTCTTGCGCCTGCTCACCCCTTGTTGTCATTTGTTGGACGACACCGTCCAGCCGTATCACCGTCGCAGGAGGCTGTGGTCCATCCTGTTGCACCGCGGCCGAGAGGGGGAAGTGGAGATCGAGTTTCTGGCGCGCGCAGCCCGCGAGGTTCGATTGCAGGTAGCTCAGGTCATTGGGGGATTGGAGTTCGACTTTGCGGTGGTGCCGGTCTGCGATCGGGTTGGGATGCGCCGCCGCCGTTGTTGTGTCTACTGCATCCATGACTGTTGTTGTTTCTTGGTGGAGATTTTAAAACTCACGGAGGTATTGAAGTGACGGAGGATTCAAGATCGCAAGGTACCTGGCGTGGGCATGCTCGAGGGGTGTCGTGGTTCATCGCTGGTTGGGGACGGACAGACCAAGTCCTCGTACATACATACTTGCATGTAAACAAGCTGGGGCTATCGATAGGGTCTGGTGGAGCGATCAAGGTACGATTTTCTACACGAAAAATGATTGGCCCTCGGGTTTCTCACTGTATTTTGCCACCCCACAACATGAAAGTGGGCGCCGAGAAATTCATATCCACCAAACACAGACGAATATACGGGTTGGCAGAAAGTCGTATGCAAAGGAACAAAAGATAGTGTTATGATGGTGTATTCACATTTTTCAAGTCTGGTTGCCTGTGGCAATGCGGTGATCTTCTGCTGTCTGCTTCATCGCCAGACATGTGATATTTGCGATCACTTCCTTGCTGTTCCATCGCCCACGTCCCGCTCCATGCTCGCAGTCTTACTTGGACTCGTCAAAGACGTAGGTCAAGTGGCAGCGACCGCAGTATTGTCTGTTGTGCATCGCAGCCATGAAAACACCAGCACCGCACTCCTTGGTTGGGCACTCGCGCCTCAACCGCTCAATCTTCCCATCGCCATCGACCTTGTAGTATTTGAGGACAGCCAACTTGGTCTTCTTGCGCTTGTGCTTGATCTTCTTCGGGGTGGTGTAGACCTTCTTCTTGCGCTTCTTGGCGCCACCACGAAGACGGAGGACCAGGTGGAGGGTGGATTCCTTCTGGATGTTGTAGTCGGAGAGAGTGCGGCCGTCTTCGAGTTGCTTGCCGGCGAAGATCAGGCGTTGCTGGTCGGGGGGAATCCCTTCCTTGTCTGGTGGGTAGATATCGTAAGCCTCCATGTGCAACTGAGACCAGCTCTTGTGAAACATACCTTGGATCTTGGACTTGACATTGTCGATGGTGTCGGAAGACTCCACCTCAAGGGTGATCGTCTTCCCAGTAAGAGTCTTGACAAACACCTGCATCCCGAGTGATCTGATATAGCTTGTCAGTCACTTCCTGGAGCCGAGAGGGATGGGAAAGAGGCCGAGGTTGCGGTGAGATAGAGCGGGAGCGGGAGACGAAATTTGAAATTCAAGATGGAAAGGTTCTTACCTCGACAAGAATTTGTCTTCCTCAATCACTTGAAAGCATGCAAAACGGTCGACGTGTACGAAGAACTGAACGGAAAACTGAACGAAGGGAAATAAGTCGGGGAAGAAAAGTAAAGAGTCAAAAATTGGAAGTGCGCAATCCGCTCGGCACACCTGCCTATCCCCCTCATTGGCGGAGCTGGGGAGTCAGCCTCTCTGCTTCTGTCGCCTTCTCGGCTCTTAACTTGGGCTTCTGCTCTACCAAGTTCACTCCCTGTCTGTACCTAACTGGGCATCACATCATTCCCATCGTATCCGCCAAACAAGTATGGTGACGCTGGTCTCACTGCACAGAGGGATAAAGCCAAAGCCAGGTGTATCTTGTGAGGCATACATGACTGGTAAGCTTGAAGCAGATACGCAAAGAATTCTGCTGGAACATATTGGTACGGGGCGAGCTTCCACAGACTGGGTGGCAAAGGCTCTTATCAGCGTGTCACAAGGTTGGGAGTGGTAAGGACCTTTGAATTGATTAGGATGTTATGGTGCTAAAGCTGGCTTGCCAAACATCCAAAGTGAAGGGCCGCAATTGTCAAGATTTGATGGCTCGATTCAAGATGAAAGAGATGTGCTTGGGCCTGTTCATCAGACGAGCGGCCCTTCGCTACAGCACCTACCAAATGGTATTTTGTTCCTAACACGAACCTCCTCAATGCATCTTTCCCAATCGCGGTGAACATGAATCTGCGCCTTTCTTTCGCTCCGGTGCCAGCGTCTCGGGCTCAAATCCACCATGGCTGCTGGGGATTGGTCTTGCACCTTGCGCCCTGTTGACGCTCCCTTCAGCCTCGATGCTAAAGGGTTGAAATGCCCAAAAATGGGCACATTTTGAAAAAAAGAAAGAACAATTTAGAAAATTTAAAACCCCCCAAAAAGTAAGTATTGCTCAATCCTAGCCCGTCCTGGGTTTTCGCCTCATAAATGGTCGTTCAACGACCATCAGCTCTTTTCCCATTGTTCATCTTTGTCAGTCCTCACCCAGCAGGTCCTGGGTTTTCGCCTCATGATTGTTGTTTCAAACGCTATCGGAACTTCGCCGTCCCTGTATTCATGGCATGGAATATTAAAAAATTGCTCCCGCACCTTTAATACCAATTAATTTCAGTAATCTCTTCAGCAATCTCTTCACATCTTCTGCTGCATTGAGACGAGAGGAGTACGGAGTACTCAGGACGACTTTGTACACGACCGAGCTAGCATATACGGCATATGTGCAGACCAGGCTCTTTGCCACTTTGGTTAGTTATTTGTGGCTGGGGGACTGATAGAGAGTTCCATCACTGATAGTATATATGTGAGTTGTTGTCAGACGTAAATCATTGTCACTTGGAGCCCGCAATTACGAAATGTGAGCAAGTTCAGGACCATGGTGTCTATTTTTGCTGTCAATTGATGGAACCTTTCCGAGGAACACTGACCTCCCCATTCTCTGCCATTCCGGCCCCTGTCAAAAGCGTCCTTGACTGTGCGGAGAGACGCATCTTCTCACTTCGCATTCCATACCGTGATTCTGAATACTGATGGGGAGACATCCATTCACCGGTCTGACTGTGAACCCATCGGCACCACTGCCTGGATCCAGCCTTGTCATATCACGTGATGTTGAAGTTCCCTTCGTTGGCGAGCCAGCTCGGCATACCTACCCGGGAAAACCCATCATCGCCATACAAATCCGGTGGTGTTGTTTTTGATGTTAAAACTCATGGTACAGGGAGATGGAACTTGAATCTGGAAGTCCTTCGTGGGCCTTAATGAGACGTATATGAATTGCTGACCTCTGTTGACATACAACTGAGCCTCTATGGAAAGTCATCGGCGCGTTACCTTGATTTGATTAAATACCTACTTAGTGCCAAAGCCGGGGTACCAACATCAATGCAGAGACACCTGCGCAGTCCAGAGAGCACGGCCTGGTTCATGATGGAGATGTACCAGATACTTGAGCTTGTCAACGAGACCATCAACCCCGCGGCTACATCATATATCGAAATGTCTTCAATCCCGAACCTCGGCATCCTGGATGCCTGTTCCCTGGTCGTGTTGAATGAGCCTGGCGCAGCTCTGAGACTCTAATCCACCTGGATCCTCTTTGATGTTTTCTTCAATGTCGATGTCTAAGGTACCAAAATGTAGTTTTAGGAAGGTTTGTTGCAGCGGTGCTTAACCTTTTGGGCGGGGAGATCTACTGAACCCTCACAAGGACTGGCGCCATCTGAGACATGCTAGACCTGTGTGTCTGCTCCTCAAGTAACCTCGTGTCTGTGTGAAAAGACAAGATCTCTTCCGTTACTTCGATTTGGGGCTTACTGACGGCAACAGATGGGAGATTGTGGTGCCTTGTAATAATCGCAGGAAAATACTTGTACGTGCTGGCGTGATGTGTCGGGCATCACTACGTAATCAACCCTTTCGGGAATAGTGGGGCATTATTGAGGTTTTAAAAGTGGTGGTTGCTTTGGGCGGTTGCCGTGTCAACATTGCTGTTTACGCAGCCGCCACTTCCGGAGCGACGGCCAGTGAGATCGCCGACAGTAACGAGACCAAGTCAATACTCATCACCTCCCCTCCAGTCCTGCAGTCACCTCTCTTATCCTCCTCTTCCACCTCCAAACCTCCCAAAGCTACCCTTGAAACCGACCTCTCCTCTACAAGAAACCTCCAGACCTCCAAAACACTCAATCGAGAAGCCTCTCAGGACCCAGTTCTGATCAAAATCCACTGAATCTGCCCTGAGAGGGCCCATCCTTTGAAGAAATAACTGTCGCACACAGTCGTCTGCGACTGGTGAAAACAGTATAACACAAGACCGCTGCCCGGTCCGCAGCCCCTTGCGCTGCGTGAGGTACGTTGGATCAAGGGACAAATACCATTCGGAGTAGGCAGAGAACTAACAGCTGGTGCTCGTGCAGTCTCGAACCATTGAAGGATCCATTTTCAGACAACAAGAACGACAAACAACCCTTCGACAAGCGACCATTTTCGAACTCATCTCGCCTAAGATGATGTCCAACCAACCTTCATCTCTTCAGCAACGACAAAGGCTACATCGGAGACAAAACTCGACACCCGTTGTAGCCTTCGAAGCCATGAAGGTCTCTGCTGCCATGCCTCAACAACCACGCCACAATCTCCATAGACGGGGTCAATCTTTCGATCTTCAACGAAGCCCCATACGGAAGCAACAGCATGGCAGCACGGTAAGTATGACTAACCTAGGACCAATCCACGGACAACAGATTTTGCGGGAAGCGCAGCAGCAACGAATAGCAAGACCGGGCCAGCAGCAACCAAACATGAACATGGAACTACCCATCTCTCCAGATTGTGGTATGTTCCCGGTGACCACATCAATGCCAACGTCGCCGTACAACAACATGAGAATGAATGCAATCATGCAACAGAACTCTCCAGGCATGACCTTTTCGCATTCCCAACAATACTTTACCGATCTCAACATGTCAATGCAAAACGGGGTGCCAACGGGACTCATGGATGAGAACAGCCTCCAATATTTCCATGAAGCTCAGGCACCTCAGTTTCAGCAAGGTGTCGGTATCTCCTTTGACAATCGAAGAATGTCACAGCCAGATCTGCGGGTTCAGACCCAGCTGCGACCTCATACACCTTCACATCAAATCCAGTCTGGTAAGTGCTTTCCCGATCTAGGAAATTTTGACAGGGTATCTGACATTCCATCAGCACAACTTCCTCTTACACCTCCTTTCAGTCAACACAACCCAGCCGTTCAGTACTCACGGTCATTACAAGCATCACCTGCCCTGCAATCGCCCTTTCCAGTGCCTATGACACGGGGTAAGTCCCTTCAAGGAATCATCGAGCACGAGGAACTGGGAGCCGAGCCCATCGGATCACCAACCAAACCTTTGTTTGAAATGGCCGAGATGCCCCTGCCTGAACCACGGAGACGCGCCGGGACCCCACCAGCGGCCCGGCAAACAGAGCCAACGAAGGTCAAGGTTGAGTCGAGCCCAGGAGAGCATGATGAGTTGGAGGCTGAAGTACCCAAGCTCGAAGACATGGTTGTCCCAGACTTTTCAGCCAAGAAGGCACCAGCAGGCAGTGCTTCGCCTGGAAGGCCAGCACTTTCACCCCGCCGTATGTCGATCTCGGACCTCAATCTGGAACCAGGAATCGAGGCATCAATTGAGGAGACCAATATCACGCTTGATGACATTGCACAATTCATCGAAGGTCCAGATCCAGTGGACAACAAATGGGTCTGCAAGTATGAGGATTGCAACAAGAGATTTGGCCGCAAAGAAAACATCAAATCACACATCCAGACGCATCTCGGTGATCGTCAATTCCGATGTGATCATTGCAAGAAATGCTTCGTCCGAGGCCATGATCTGAAACGCCATGCCAAAATCCACACGGGTACAAAACCATATCCGTGTCTCTGCGGAAACTCATTCGCTCGACATGACGCATTGACTCGACATAGACAAAGAGGAATGTGTATTGGTGCCTTTGACGGTGTTGTCAAGAAGGTGATGAAGCGTGGCAGACCGAGAAAGCATCGACCGGAGATGGATGAACGCCTAGACAAAGCCAATCGAACCAGGCAGAGAACCGTCGAGCAGCACAATGATCCTTACACATCTTCGGCGTCGAGCTGCTCCATGTCAAGCTGGGGTTCACCGCCAACGGAGACGATGGACAATCTGAGCATCCGCGGATCGTCGCCTTTCGATAACATGGCCCTCTTTGGTATGCCGCAGCACAATCTCCTCAACATGGATCAGATGATGGGCTTTCCTCCCGACACGTTCTCCTTCACCCCTCCACATAGTCCAGGATATTCGACCGGCAACAAGCCTAGTCCTGTCTACCGGGAGTTGACACCAGCAGAGCTAGGCGAGATTCCAGAGCTGCAACATAGTGATGGGTCACAAATGTTGCCAGACCTTCCGACCATGGATAATGGCTTGCCGATGATGGGTGCTACCATGAACATGTCTTCAGGACAGAGTTTGCCCAGTCTTTCACACTCGTGTTCATCACCTGCCGCTGATATGGTGGCTTTTGATTTCTCGGACCTGCCAACCAACACCACCTCGACCATACATTCACCGCAGCTGCCTGTCAAGATGGAGCAGCACGAAAGGAATGACTTTGACAACTTCCTCGACTATGGTGGGATGGAGATGGGTCTGGATCCTTCGTCGCAGGACTTCTTCTCCATTTGAACTGATGGCTTCTAACGCAACGAGAACGTCGACACCGCAACGGGCGTGAGCGCCACTGTCCGTCCTTCGCACGACACCTTGCATATGTAAATGTATTCTAGTCAACTGATGAACGACCTGGGACGATGTATACAGGAAAGGAATGGGAGGAAACTTGGGATCGGCATCGGGGCCGAATTTGGGATGGGTAGCGAGTTGCATTTGCTTGTCATGTCATGGATGCTTTTGAGATGGTGCTTTTTATGTCATTCTTTTTTCGGTGTATATCCATTCCTTTGAATGATTTTCGGGACGAGCGTCGGCGCCTAGAGGGTGCCATGCTCAGTTGAGGATGAGGAACTTTCTTTTAATTTCTCCTTGGGGTTCTTTTGACACTTGTGTGCGCGCACTCACACTCCCCCGGCCACCCGATAGGGAAGTGACTCAGTCCAAGAAATGCCAGGCGACATACACAGCAAGCCAATCTGAGCGGAGGGCTCCAAGGAGTCCAGGGATGCTGGAAATGACAAGACAGGCACGTGCCAGGAAGGAAGGGGGGAAAGGAAATCTTTCGGGCGGCGCTGCAAATCAGACATCAGACATTCATTCATATTCATATTCACATAATCATTTCTTCTCTTCTTGTCTTTGGTCTCGTGAGATTAACTTTGGTGGTACTCGTTACTTGTTGGGAAGGAAGAGTGGCAGCGCATTGTAGTGTAGTGATGGTAGTGGTGGTTATGGTAGACTCGATGGTTAAGCTAACAATGTGCTCAACAATGTCCTTGAAAGTCGTCTGTCTGTCTCCATGTCACGGGTCGTTGGACTGTGTACTTTACATGCAGGCTTGTTGCTTGCAGCTCCTTTCTCAGTCAGTGGTCAGTGAGCAGCTGAAGCTCGCACTCCAGGCATCCCTACCTACCCACCCACCCACTCCCTGTCTACTCCGTTCCACGAAGTGAAGAGTCACTTCACATCTGGAGGCAAGAAAGTATTAATAATGTTCTCGCATGCTCGGCTGGCTGACTGACTGGCCAGTCTGTGCGCCGGTTGTGCTCCTTCTCCACCATGACCCATTGTGTCTGCTGTTCTTTGGTTCTTGTTCTGTGTTGGCTCTCTCTGTAGGTCGCATGTGGACGATTGAGGAAAATGAGACGAGCTGAGAAAAGGGACGCACGAGGATCAGGGAAAAGAGACGATCCCCATTGATGTTTTCGCGGTCTGGAGGACCAAGGAAGGCGCTTTTGCCTTGCAATTTCGCTCGCATCTTGTCTTTCTGGCAAGGCTCTAGTCAACCTAAGTGGTCCGCTCCACATCCGCAAAAACGCGAGGATGGCAGCGTTTCGTGCGAAAGTAACAAGAGCATCAGAAGAATGGAGAAAGACCTTTGAAGCAGATGAGATTGCGAGTCGCGATGGTACTGTGTGAGCTTCACGAGTAGTCAAAATGATGGGAGCGCCGGGTGAAGCTTGAGCCGAGGGTTTGGTGTCTCCGCACCTAGACAGCTAGGTCATTTCTGACCTCTTCGCGGTGTCAACTAGCATACGTGATCTGTAAGGGAGCAGGGCTGTAGGCAGCAATGTTGTTGTCGACAAGGTAGACTCAGCAGACACACGCAGTGTAAAACACAGCGAATGTCAAAGCTGTAGAGAAATTGCGAATTGTCCCCGGTCGAGTCCGATTGACAACCGCTTGAAACAAGGATTCGTTGATGACAACGGAATTGCACAAGCGTGAGCGGTGACATGTCGTTCGGGCGACGGAAGTGACACGCATATCAAAAACCTGGATTTCCGGGAAAGATTGTGGCGGAAACCTTCAGGGCCGGTATCAACGCCCTCCGAAGCAGCTGTTCTGCGATAGCTTCCGTTTAATGCCGCCGTGACTCTGTTGCGCCTTGGACGTCTCGTCCGTGCTCTGTTTGCGAAAGGTCTGCTGTGGGTATGCTTGCCACAACAGTCTCAGCACCTCCTTTCCCGTTCTTCCGTGCCCTTGTGCCATGTTTGGGTGAAACTGAGTTTCTCAGGTCAGCGGGAAGGCCCATGCAAGGGCACACGTGGAAATTGAGGCTACGACAGTCAAAGTGAGGCTTTCTTGGTGTGTAAATGGATGCTTTGACATGTTCAGTGCAGGAGAGGTGTAAGAGTCCCTCTCTCCGGATTGGCAGAACGCTGCTCCACCTTGGTAGAGCCAAAGGATATTTGTGAGCAAATAACAGAGTGAGGCTGGGAGTCACAAAGTTAGCCTAGTCGTAGGACCGCAGAGTCCGTGCTCAGTCCCGGCACAGCTTGCAACTTCAATTAGTGGTAAACTCCTTTTGACATGGTGGCATATCCAGCACAGTGTCGGAGGGGAGAGGAGGTCAACAGAGGACAGTGGGAAAAGGGGCCAACAGGATGCCAGATAGTCCATTGGCATCGGTGCACTGCCCTCGCAGCGGTTAATTTCGTGCCAACGGGGCCAACCATGCCTAGAAGGACACCGGAGATCGACCTCCCCCAAGCATGTCGTTTTTGGGACGGATTGGGTTCAAGCATACAGACCAATCGCCTCGAGATCCAAGTATTGTGGGCAGCCACCACCTCTTTTCCCTCGATGGCTACAAGCATCACAAAGCCCTCGCACGTTGCTCCTCAAGATACCGTGCCTGTAACTAGACTGTCCAGAGAGAGTTCGCTTTAATCACTCAGTTTGATTGATAAGCTAGGAGATCGCGGCTCAAAGGCTTTCAGCCGTCGGATAAGCTGTTACCTGCCTCAGACTTTGGAAAGGGGGGCTTGACGTCGACGTCCAGCAAACGCGTTCGTGCCCGTTTAATGGCCCAAGGTCCGCCACAAGCGCCGAGGTCATAGTGGACAGTAGAGCTTCTTCTAGGACAAACTGACAGAGAGCCTAGACAGTTCATGCAACAGTGGTCGATCAGAGGTCGATCAGGAGAGAGTGAGGCATTGTGACAGGGACTAGTCAGGCTGATATTTAAGGAGGCAGAACTCAGACCACCCGAAGCTGGCTTGGGCCGGAATGTTACTATGTCGTCGGCAATTTGCCCATAAGGAAGACCCCGGAGATGCGAGGTGCGGGTAAGAGCGGGTAGATACGCTCCTCGTGGTGCAGCATGTCACGCAGATTGTCACAGACATTTCCAGAATCGTGGTGTCGGTTATGATTGTGGAAGTGATCGCCAAAATAGCCAAATGTTTGGAGACCTGCTGAAGCCAGACTGCACAAGCGCCGTTGGCTTTGGGACGGACGGCGATCGTCGGGCAGCCGAAGTGTGAAGTTGTTTGAAGGCATGATCAACCTCTCTACGAAGTTTGATGTGACTTCCGGCAATTACTTAGGTCAAAAGAGTGCGATATCAGGTCTCTTTCTTGAAGCCGAATTCGGTCCCACATCAGAAGTTCTTGGAACAGACTTTGTTCTCAATCGGGCACGGATCAGCGAAAAGGGGAGCCTTGCAGCCTCTGATTGGGTCGTGGTCTTCAGGCATTCCTGGGTGATCTTTGGGCCTCGAAGGTGGTCAAGTCGCTTCAGGGGGTGCTTCCTGGAAACAGGATTGGGCACCCCGCACCTCAGATGCGATTACTTGGGCACAAGGACCCCATGTACCGAGTTTCAGGCCACAGGCAAGTTGGTGGCGCGCCAGGATGACGTACTTGTCACACCTGTTTCCCAGTGAACAGGTTTTTGAGTTGTATCTCTTGGTGATTGGACCAGTTTCATCGACTTTGTCGTTCCTCAGTACGTGTACATACGGTTTGAGCTGGAAATTGGTGCTTTGACCGAAGAGGAGAATCAGCACGGAGCTTTCTGGGAGCGAGACCTTCAGGGCCCGGTTGGGGACAGTCCAGGGCTCAAAAATGCTACCAATCACGCTTAGCTGGCCTCAACGTTGAGCGGAATGAGTGGTGTTAACAAAGCCTGCAGGAATAAGAATCCACTTGGATTAAAGGATGCATTTTGTAAAGCTTCGGCGATTTGTGAGAGGTTCGAGAAACAGTGCATTTTCTGAAAAGTCTCCAGGGCTATTGGGCCTGACGGGCACCGGTCAGAGTAATTTGTGGAAACAAAGGTGATACGAGAACCTGGACTCCGCCACAGCATCCAGACAACTATAGGAAAAGGGTGGACCAAGCCAGAACCGGATTCCACGTGTGCAAAGGTGTATCGACTCTGGATTCGGTGGGCGCTTTCTGCCCTTGGGGACCGAGAGAATTGAGCGGTGAGAAACAGCTTTGCTTGCATTAGGTAGTCCCGCATAGCACATTGCATAGTGCAGAAGTTGCAATGAGACTATTGCCTGTGGAATGGCTGAGCCAGTGCAAAAGGGAAGACGCCGACGCCGACGCCTCAGGTTCCGTGGGCATTGGGGGCATTGTGGGCTTCGTGGGCTGATGGGCTGGTGCTGAGCTGCTAGATGCAGGGTCGCCAACCCCGTCCCCGCCAGTTGCTCAAGTGTGGATAGAGTGTTATTCCGTGCATTGCTGATCGTTTTCTTCAGATCTTTCCGTGTGTAGGTATGAGATGAATGGCGCATATTTTCTGGCACTTGGGCCATCTGGAGGGACATGAAGAGGAAAGAGAAGTGTCGATCGGATATCGTGCCACTGGCAAATTCATTCTGTTTTGTCTGCCACCTCTGCAAACGAAGGCCCGAGTGCGGTGCCCCGGGGACACGTGTGCAGGAATTGGCGTGTTTCTGCAGCCTCAACAGGCACGGATTAAGGTTGGACGGGCGCCTGGATAGCGTGATCTGGGAGAGGATGGAGGAATGGACTTGACGGAGCGAGGAAAATGGTGAGTCGATGAAGGTCAAAGTGAGGCGAACGGCTGTCAAGGTGCGAAGGGGAGGCGGCGGCTGTGATTGGCTGGCGGCTGACATTGCCTGCGCTGATTGGCTCACTGACACCAGGCGTGGAAGACTTCAGCCATTGCAAGGCAACCATTAGTCGAAGGGTTGCAGGACAAGTTGGATTGGAACTCTGACTCCAAGCATCAAGACGCTCGGAGAACCAATCTCCATTGCCGTATCACTACACAGAGGTCATTGGCCGCGGCAACTCTGCCCCTACCCCCTCTCTTCCGAAGCCTTATATCTCCTTCGAGGCTCTCACCATCGACTGCATTCTGGTCTCTATCATGGCAGCAACTTCACAATCTCAATCTCCGTAGGTCAGGTGGCCTAAGTATCGAGCTCACAACTTTTACCAGCTCCGGTCGTCCCATAACTATACGTTTTGTGTCAGGTTGACACCGCTCCAACAACCCCCCTCCTCATAACCCAAATGCCTCAACCAACAAGTCCACCCAGAGATTACTGGATATCAGGCTATGGCCTGTCTCGACATATTGTTCTTCGACAGTTGCAATACTTCCTCGGACCCTCTGCCACCGTGAGGCCATATTCATATCGTGTATGAGGGAACCTCTTCCACCTGTGACAGGTCACAAGCTGACGGGAGCCTAGGGCCGAGAAGGATTCCTCATCAATGGTCCCGAGTTGACCAAGGTGAGCTGGGTCGCCACCTTCACGGGGTACAAGAAGCTTACAGCAGGTCCCAGGAGCAAATAGAAGACCTCAAACGACAGTCGGAACAATATGAAAGGCAACAAACAATGCGCATGTCCAACAGGGTCAGCAGTGGCACCGAGGACGAGGACTGCGACATCAACGAAATTGTCACCATCAATTCGAGTCGGAGGCACAACCTCGCACATGCGTCTGCGTCCCATTACAAGCGTCCCCGGTGACCATTCGTCACAATGGCCGGGAACAGCATCTTGCTGCAAAAAGTTCTTCATCAGAAAAGTCCACATGACCTCTTAAGTCACCCAACATGTTCGGCTCCCCAAGGAAAAGCCGAGAGGCCCGCTGCTGGTCGGCTGGTCTGCCGGATGTCACGAGGACCACACATTGGTCCAGTCAGAGGTTCCAAGTCATGCATTGAGAAGCTGCTGTGCTGCGTGCCTGGACGAACGAAGCACTCTAGATGAGGATTGGGGACATGGCAGGTTGCAGATTTTCGAGCATGGAGGAACGGAAATCGGATTCGTCAGAGACTTGCAGGTCGCTTAGCCTTTTAGGAAGCTTTGTATGTATATGCGGGTATGGTGGAACTAGGGATTCGTGGCAACTCTAGGGGTTTAGCACTTGCGTCGCAGAAATGCCAAATGCCCTCGGTTCATTTGGCGCTGCAGAACCCAGTGTGGAGCGTTCGATTCTCAGGGGTACGCAGCACCGACGATTGCTGTGAGTCAAGTAAGAAAACCGGGGTTGTGGTGGAGGCTGTTTAGCGGTGCAACAAAACACAGCACCTTGCGTCGAGAGATGCACCTCAAGATCCTCTGTAGGTTGTATAGGTCCACGGACCGACCAATACGGGCACATGGTAATGCCGCTCGCCCTTTTTAACATAGAATTTGACTTCGACCTCGGGCCAAAAGCTCTCGACGCCCTTCTCTTCATACCATGGACCGACCTCGAACTTGATACTCCAAGCGATTCGCTCTCCGTGGCTGTACCCCTCCAGAACATCCGACACACTCCTGCCGGCAGATTTCTCCCACTCTTTGACGCGTCCGTCTTCATTTGTAACGGCAGCGAAGCTCACTGCAGGTTGGGAAGATGTGTGATTGTTGGACGACAGCAGGGTCAATGTGGCTTTGAGGCCGGCCGCAGGCGTCCCAGACAGCGTGTTGAGGACATGGCAGGTGATCGGAGAGGTCATTGTGCAGCACTGAGTGTGGGATTGTACAGTATGTTGCGCTACAGAGTCTCGGTGGTGCAAAGAGATGAATAAATATTTTGTCACTGAGTTCCAAGTCGGCCGGAGGAGGCCGACGACGTCAAGACGAAAGAAGAAAGTTGCAGCTGGTCCCAAAGTTTCCCTGCACCTCATCGTTATCGGTGGAGCAGCTAGGGTCGAGCGTTGTTTATCGGCAGATGTACGGAGGAGTATATAGCACCAGAGGTATCAATTGTCTCAACATACCGAGTAGAGACGTGAAGAAACCTTGGTTCTCCGCTGTGACTTAATCAGTATGTCTCTGTCTCATCTTCGTCTTATTCAACTTCCTGATATCTTCCGTCCGCGGCCAAAGGGAACAGATCTCCACCCCCGCCAAGTCAAGAACTTGGCCATCCGCTACTCACAAACGTCCTCACGCTGTCCACATGTGCCCGTATATCGCGAGACCATTACGAACCACCTTCGCCACTGTAGACCTTTATCGACACTGGTGAAGACTCGACGACAGGATGACCACCACCGTGATTGATGCACAGCCTCATGCAGTGAAGAAGACGGCGCATGGATGCCTGACACGCGCTTGTTCTTCATGGTGGCCGTGAGCTTCGGCCATATCAATATCGGCCAATTGACCGAACGACTAGGATGAGATGATTGGATCCCTCAAGCCCATGCGTCTTGCTTACCTAGTCTTGCTAGTGCAGGTCCGCCTAACACCACAAGACTTCATACGAGTAAAGAAGGGTTTGTGACTTGTACTCGGAAGTCTCCCTGAAACGCTTTCACGGTCAGGACGCTGACATGCAGACAGACCATTTTCACCGCTTTGTGTCAGACTGCGATGTAATACAGGCACCAACGGGCCAAATTGACTTTCCTTTCTGCAAGTTCCTATCAGTGCTCTACAACAATATTCGATATGCTCGACCGTAGCGCGACGAGGTTGCGAAGCACGTGAACGACTCACTACTCGATTGGGTGCGTGTGGCGTTGTACAGATACGCAGAGTGAGACGCACCACTATTCTGGATTCACCACGCGTTTCCGCCCTTTGAATATTGGCAACAGGATCCCGGCTCCAGCCTCTGTTTAGTCTAAGCTTTGCACTTTCCTTTCACGTCGAGCATGGGAAGCCTGAAGGCGGAAAGAATGACAAAAGAGGTAGTTGGTACGGTTTATGGGCTCTGTGTCCCTGCTGACATGATACGCGCCGAGGCCTTCCTCCCCACAGCCTGGTCATAATACCGCCCCAGGAGGTAAATCAGCTTGTGGAGTGTGGACGCTTCGATGAGGGAGGCCATGGCCGGTAATGAAGCGAAGCGGGCTATATATGAGGAAGGCGGGTGTATGTGTGTGTGTGCTGTGGGTTTCCTTGAGCTGCCTCACTCTGTGTCCCTTCTCTCGTTAACCATCATCTATATCATAGTCCTCACCCCTCCACGATCGACAAAGTAAGAGACCCTCAACCGTCTTTTAGATACTCAGCACAACATGACGAACCTCTCCGCCGCGACCGTGACCAACCCTACCAACCTCCCACCGCGCTATGAGATCCGAAGACTGACGGACGAGCACATCGAATGGGCCAAGGCGCTGGTCGTGCACACGAACCTATTCTACTCGCCCGTGTGGCCGGTGTGCTACCCGGACGCCAAGACGGAGCGGCTGTACCGCAGCTACCACGCGGCCGACTACCTGGTGCGGCACCAGATCGGGTCGGGCCACAGCTTCGGCGTCTTCGACCTCGAGTACCGGTTCAGGCGGGAGGAGTCCAAGCCCACGGGGGGCAAACTGTACTGGGAGCTCAAGGACACGACACTCGACGCGGACCAGCTAGCGGAGCAGATGGACTTCCCGCTCGTCAGCATCGCCTTGGCGTACGACGGCTTCCACCCCCTGGACGGGGAGCAGATCGGGCCTCTGATCGCCTGTCTCCCCCTCTTCGGGACCTTCTACCACGTCCTCGAGGTCCGCGACCCTCGCGACCCGACCAGCTGGCAGCCCACGGGCGAGAAGCAGGTTCTCATGCGCAACGCGACGTGCACTCGCCACGACGCCGAGGGGAAAGGACTGATGAAGGCCCTCGCGCAGTTCTTGATGCGCTATGCCGCCGAGCAAGGCTTCCGGGGCATCCAGATCGAATGTTTCGCCGACGCCGTCACAAAGGTCTGGTCGCAGCCCCCTCCTCCCTTCAAGGGGACCATCGTCAGCGAATTCAACACTTACGACTACGAGGAAGAGGTCGAGGACGAGGCCGGTGTCAAAAAGACCATCAAGCCGTATGGCGACCTCAAACAGAGAGCAACAAAGGTCTATTGCGACCTTAAGCCGTAAACATGGACATGCAAACCCCACGCTACCTTCACAAACGCACTGGCAAGTGTAGCGGTCCTGGCAGAGTGAGAAGAGCTCTAGGTAGGCCGGAGGGAAGAATGGAGAGAGCTCAAAGATGGAGAATGAAGTCTTTATTATTGTAGGCCATGGCCGTTCCTGGGATGCAGAGCTCTGTTACCAGGGTAGCTGAGCAGACACTAGCCAGACCTTCCTCTAGCCCTTCCCTATCTTTCAATACTATACATAGATATGATACAGAGATGCATCCCTAGACCTGCAATACACAGTTTCAAGTTTGCTGTCTCTTCATACTCTACCACCCTCCTTCTCATCTTTCCCTTTCCCAGTCACTCACTCTGTACTCACTCCTTAAAGACCTTTCCTGCTTCCACAACCTCGAAACATTTGACGGTATGTTCCCAGACCTTGAGCCTCGCATCCTCCCTATTGATCTTCTGGTATGCCTTGACGTTGAAGTTGCTCTCGCCATTCCAGGTGAGCGAATACACGCCACTGCCTGGCGTCCCTGATGTTCCTGTGATGACTCCCTCTGTCGTTGTCGTCGTCTGAGAACTACCACCATCGGCGGCGTCGGCGGCGGTTGGTGAAGCTTGAGGCGGGTGTGCCGGGTACAGGTCCGACCCGAGCGACAACATGCGCTCTCCACACTCGGCCGGAGGCACGGTCAACAGGCGCCCAAACAGGGGGAGAACAACCCAGTGGAACAGGATCCTGAACCACATGGGCAGTTCTGTGCTGTGGAAGCCCGGGCCGACGACGATGCCGGGGAAGATGTGGACCAGGCTCAGTTTCCCCGGGTGGCACTGGGCCAGCTCCTCCATGAACAACGTGTGCATGTAGCACATGTGCGATCGCGCCCGCGTGTACTTGTACCGTGTCGTGTCGCGGAGGGACAGATCGTCCAAGTCCAGGTCCCCCTCCGTCCCCGCGGCGTAAACCGACACCACCGTGGCGGCGGGGAGACGGGAGTTGAGGAGGAGTGGCAGTAACTTGGTGATGATCCTCATGCGGGAATAGTACATGAGCGACATGGTCACGTCGATGCCCTCTTTCGTATCTTTTCAATTTTGTGGTATTGTCAGCACAACTCGCGCGGCCACGGGGAGGAGGGGGTTTGATGTTTCTCCGCCGGCAATGTGCAGATCATACCTTTGCGCGGAAGAAAAGGCATTCCCCCCTGAGATACCATAAGGTAGTCGACCCGGGAATCTTCTTGACCCTCGTCTTTCTCCAGACGGATGATCTCGGCGCAAACGCGGTCGACGTCGCCAAGCAGAGAAAGGTCTTGGGCCTGGATGAACTTGAATCGGCCCTGTGGGCAGATTCCACGACACTCGGCGAGCATGTCTTCGGCCGCTTGGGCGTTTCTCCCCACCACGTATGCCCGGAGCCCTTTACCGCCCTGAGCTTCGGCGGTAGCCAGTGCACGCAGCGTCACTTGTCCGATACCTCCTGTACCCCCAAAGAAAACGGCCACTAAAGGCTGACTCTGGACTAGGGCTTTGCCCAAAGCGCGCGCCGTGTCCAATTTGACCATAGTGATAGATGAAACCAGGGAAAACAGGTCGAGACGAGGAACGTGAAGGACCCTCGAAGCTTTGCGAAGGGAGATCCTTTTCTAGGAAGAATTTCTGCCACAGACATGAAGTAGGGACCGAGTCCCCGTCCCTGTTGTTTAAGATGAACCAGTTCCTGAAGCAGTGTAGGTAGAATGGTACACTGGGCTAAAGCCGCTAGGGCGTTGAGTTTGCCAATTGATGTTCAGTAAGTGGGCACGCACTAACTGACATTCGTATTCCCAATGACGCTTATATTGTCGGTCATATCCACCTTCGGACTAGTTGACGGCAGATTCGGTCGAAGAAATGAATACCTTGACAGCATCTATGTCAGTCATTGCAGGACCCCAAGTTCATCACCGACAGTCCGTGCTATAATCAAAGAGAGAGGCAACAGGACAGTATTGGTCGGTGAAGTATGGAACTCGGGACGCCTCTGACCGAAACTCAACTGCTTCATTCGTGTGGCTCTGTCGCAGACGATACCTTTGCTTCAAGAACGTCTGCCCCCGAGTAACGTATCTCCGGGATACATGTCAGGCAACTGTATTCATGTAAGTCGGTGCTTGAGCCTTGAGCTGTCAGTACGAAATGGATGAAATCCGACGGACTCTGTGGCGATGGTCAACTGACAACAATGTTGATCCCCATAATGTAGAAAAATTTCACCGAACGGGCGAACAGTCGCTTAAAGGCTACCTCTTGTAAACAATGAATCGCAAAGAAAGGACAGAAGGGAGATCTTTACAGGATCACGAATCCGATGGCTGCTCGACTGCTGGATCAGCAAGGAACTTGTGAGAGGCACGTCTACCAAGGCTGTGAGGCTCGCTTGAAAAGGGGGGAGGATTGGCACCAATCCAGCTTGAGCTTATGAGACCCAAGGCAGATCCCATCACCATGAAGCATATCCTCGGATCTCAACAGAGTCGCTCAGTTGCCTTTGACTTTTCCATGCGTCAGGCTAGCCATGATGGGCCATTGTCGGGATAGGTGGCATCGACGTGCGTGTAAGAGCGTGTCGGTTGATTAATGAGAGTGTCTGACTGAGTAATAATATGTGGTAAGTGGCACAGTGCGGGTAGCAAATGCCGTGGCCTAATAACAGAGAGCTACAAGCAACTCTAATTAGTAGCTTGATGTCGTGGGGGCTAGAATCTTCCCTAGAGCCTCTTTGCCTCGTTGCCTCTTAGCCTCCCATCAAAGCCTTGCTGCTTGTTGCTTGAGCTCTCCTTTTCCTGTCCCTGTCCATGAATTCTCAACAATAATTATGCCAAAATCCACACCCTCAACCCTCTCAGCCTACAGGGTCTGGCCTACGAGTCACCATCGACACCTGGTGGCACACCAACATCACCACCACCCCGAGCCTCTTCCCCCAAGTCTCTCCGACAGCCACGGACACATACAAATCTATACTTCTCTCCTCCGAATCCCACCAAAGAGTAGGACTAGGAGGCTCTCAGAACGAATGACAATGCGCCATATTCCTGTTCTTTGACGTGCTGCATCTCATGGTACTGGGTACGTAGAGGAAAAAGGCGGTGAAGCATCTCACTGTACTCGGTACAAAAGCAGCCGTTACAACTGACAGAAAGGGATGGTGCTCGGCCTTGAAGTTCCGGGCTTGTGGCTTTGTGGCTTTCCGCTAAGAAAGAGGGGAGAAAGAGATCCTACAAACATGGCAATGGAAATGTTGAGGACCCCATGTGAGGATGGAACTACAAGTCCAAGTCCTCGTACAAGTATCAAAGGAGCCACCCACTTGAAAGAAGCACTAAAGCAAGAACATGCAGTGTCCAGACAATTTGGTCTTCCCAATGGCCCACACACACAGATGAGATGACCCAGTCTTCCAAGTCCAGGGATGCACAATCACAGTCGCAAAGACTGGTCAAGCTCGAAGCCTCCCCCCGAGTCCCAAGTCCCAAGTCCACAGTTCTACCGACTACAGACAGCTACGAGTTCGAACGCCTCCCTCCCTTGATCGGCGATGCGCATGGTGCATGCATGGGCGACTCCGTAGCGTGAGCTGCGGCCCACGCCCACCCCCGACACGACTTATGAGTATTACTCGTATATTGACCTTCCTCCACCCTGGGTACTGCCGAGATGGAGGAGGCTACTGGGGCCGAATGACCTTCTCAAGGTGGTCCTATTCATGGGTTCAGGATGGCTGTAATGTTTCGTACTGCAGGAGCTTTCTGTCGGCGATGGCATTCCCTCAAACTGAATGTATGGACCGTTCTTGATAAGGAAGCCCATGGGTTTCCCCCGTCGTCGCAAACACCCACCTCAGCTGAGTCGAGTTGCATGCAGTGACTCGCAGGCTGCAGCGGCGTCAGGGTACAGGTCAGACGCCTTAGCTACCAGTACTCGGTACTCGTCTTGCCTGCTCTTGCCACCTGCGTTACGGATTGGTGCCCGGGTGCCCAGCCTATACAATACTACGACAGGAACCCCCGGTGCCCCGGTAGCCCCAGTTCGGTCTGCTCGGTGGCTGGCTGGCTGGCTGTACGAGTCGATTGAGAATTCGGCGAGCCCATGAACCCCCAATTTGTGGTTGTCCTCGCCCATCCAGCTCGAATCCTCGCCCCCCTCCCACCAGTTTTCTCGACCTGTTCAGGCCGTGACGCCTGAGCAATACACTTACTTACTCGTATGGTCGTCAGGGCCGAGATAAGAAGATTTCCCAAGCAAATTCTTTCTGCCAGATCCGTTCAAGTCGGGAAGAAGCGGTTGCGGTTGAGTGAGGTGTGCCATCCTTTCCCGGAGACGCAGGCTCGGGTGGCAGACCTGGCGGCTACTCGTACCTTCTTTCCTGAATTCCACACACTGATCGCTCGCTCTACGCTCCTGATATCAGCCAACTGGGACCGTCGATCTTGACATCCACAACACACACCCACCCGCCCACCGACTCTTAGTTACCTTAAGCTTTAGTTTTTTTTCCTACTGCTCAAGCACTCGTGACCCTCTAGCGGGGACTGTAGCAAACATTCTGAACCGGGCCGAGTGAGTCCACCCAGAGTGGAACAAACCATATCGTCTCGTCCCGTATGGCATCGAATCGGGTCTTATTGCTGGATGGATGGGGCAGGCCCATGAGTGACTGAGGGCGACTGAGCAGAGACTCAACTCAGAGCGAGTCCCAAGTCCAAGTCCAAAGTACATTTTTTACTTTTTTCCAAGAATCCTCTTTTCCCTTTCCCTTCCCACTTCCCCTTCCCCTCCCGATCATAAAGCATAGTATCCATCAGACACCGGACACCGGACACCGGACATTGCACACGGGCACGGATCGAGAAAGATGGATATCCAGGCATGGGGAGATGGGCAGATGGGTACCCACGGCAGGTACTCTTTGTAGATCATAACCAGATGATCTCAAGGACCAAACACAAACACATGCACAGGCAC